TTCCCCAAACTCGATAAGGAGCTGAGTACTCAGATCTGATTATGAGGCAGCTCCTGCCCCCATAACCTACCTGCTATGCTGAGTGAACCCTGCCAGAAATGTCAGGGTGAGACAGTGAGGGACCCAGGAGCCTATGGGTGTTGTGGCCAGGTCAAGGCTTTCATCCAAGGAGTGGAGTCAATTGGACAGAGTGGGTCCTGTCTTTTGGTGGATGCTGCATGGATCTCAACCTCAGCATCTTGCATCTTGGGGCTGAATGAAGAACAATGACATCTTTCCATCTGGAAAGGGAACCTGCGACCAGGTGCTGACAACACAGTCTGTGCACTTGAACAAACTTGTCTTGAATGCATTTTCAAACACTAGAACAGGGAAGAGAGGCTGTGTGCTTTCATATAGATTGCCTAGCTATTCCCACTGTTAGCATCTTTTCTGGAGTAAATGCTTCTTCTTCGCTGGTGTTCTAATAGGACCATCTCCAGTCACAGTGGGACTTGAAAAAAACATTTTCTCATTCTGATAGGACCAAAATCTTTGTAGCTCATCCTCAAGCTGGAGTTGAAGTCCTGTCAGTGCTTTTTTGTGTTGTGGTGAGAACTCCATGTGAGATCTACCCTTGATACATATCAGATGCACGTGCTGCTTGATAACCCCAAGAGCAGTGAGGAGGGGCCAACCTCTGCAACCTAACCACTCTGCATAACAGGAAGCCTCTTCCCTGGAAAGACAGCTCCCCATGCCCCTTCAACCAGTTTGCAGGGGTGGTGGGATGACCACGCTGCCCTCAGGATCTGAACCTTTGGAGAGTCCCAACATAGCAGGAACCATTTAGCGCTCATTCAGCTGTGCCTGTATCACTTCACTCAGCACAATGTCATCAAGGTTCATCCATGTAGTTGCGTACAGAATTTACTTTCAATTAGTGTAATGATACTGCAATAATAAAATTCCAAAATGAATGACAACCAGTTTTTGAGATCTAAAAGAAAAGCTTTTGGGGAAGAATGGATTCAGGCAGAAGCCCTAATAGTGTTTTGACTGAGGATGATGATACAGGGTGGTTGTGAGAAAAAGAGGAATGCAGGCACAGGACGAGAGGTGAGGGCCTCTTGTCATTGGAGACAAGCTAAGTTACTCTTTCGCTGCACTCAGTGATGCAAACTTGAAGATTGTCTGCAATTCTCAGGCCCATAGTCAGGATACCTTCTCCCTGTGGTTGTGCAAACAGTTTTGTGAAATGCAGTGTTGGGGGCCCAGGGCAAACATGACTGCTGAATACAATGTGATGTGTCCACCACAAATCCCTGAATGTAAACCATTCATTGCATGCTTGAACTCCACAGCAGACCCCAAACCCAACTGTGTCTCACAATGTAAACTTTCAGCCGGGGAACACATGCTTTCCAAATTTCCTCTCTCATGCTGCACCCACCATGCTTCTACCTGTGTCCATGTGTCCATGAGCTGCACTAAGCCAGATACCTCACCTCCGTTGGGTCACGCAGTGCTGGTGGTCTGTGAGGGCTTACTGCACGTGGTCTGGCATCTTGCGGTGTCACCCACGTTGTTGTTTATGGCATAATTCCTCCTCTTTTAAGGCTGAGTAATAATTTTGCATTTTGAGTATATAACACAGTTCATTTATCCATCCCCTGATGGGCATTCAGAGGATTCCCGACTCTAGTCATGGTGGGTAAAGCAGCAATGCCGAGGAGGTTCTCTCTTCCTGACCCTGATTGTATTCTATTAGAAAAGAGCCCTAGACACTGGGTTGCTAGTCATGTGGGCTTTCTGTTTTCATGCTGTGGGGGAAATTCAACATTGTTTTCTAAGTGCCTGCATCATTTGAACAGCTTTATGTTCCAATGATGGGCTGAGCTTTAGTTTGTTTTTTTCTTTCTTCTCTTCTGGCAAGGTTATTGTGTGTTAACACTTCTGTCTGCTTATGAACTCTGCGTTTTGAATGCATATTCTCTGATAATGTGACCTGGCTTTAAATCCTTCATCAGGGTTTTTATGGTATCAGTTAAAATGGCAGATTTCCAGGGCCCTAGTGTAGATAATGTCTGTGTTATGTGTGAGTTAATCTAGCTGCTGACCACAGGGTACCTTGAAAAATACACACATTTTAGCTCTGAGTTGATTGGGTTATATGACCAAGCGCAGGACATTGTGGTGGATAAATCTATGGGTGGCCTCATCAGACAGCAGTCCATGAAAAGCAGGTGGACTGTCCACTGCCAGTGTGGCCAATGTCCCCAGGGACCACAGCCCAGATGCACAGCCACACAGTCATATACAAAGTACACTGTCACACACAGTCAGACTCTGTCACACACAATCACATGTTGTCATGTGCATGTATACACACACAGTCACACACGGTCTCACATTCTTTTTTGAAAACGACCTGCATTCATACATAAACTGGGAAATAAAACTGTTCATGTCATTGTACACTGTTTCCTCTAAAATGTGTCCGTGTGTTTTCTAAAAGTAAATACTCAATCCACAAAATCCCCAAGGTAGATGGTTCTGCTAGAATTTCTACAATGTATGCTTAATAGATTACATTAATAAACACTTATTTTATATTTACCTCCTACAGTAGAACTTAATATAAATAAAATTATATGTTTGGAATTGATGTGATACTGAGAATGCACAGGTAGATCTATAACGTAAAATATGCATGTGAAAAATTTGTACTTTTACCCCAACAGTGGGCTGAAAATAATCATTGGGTTTCTTCATGGTGTGTTTACAGGTGAACTTTCCTTTGAATTGATGGCTCAGTTTCCCCAGTGTGGGTGGGCACCCTCCACTCTACTGAGAGACTGATTGGACAAACAGCGAAGAAGGGAAAATTAAGCCCTTTCCTCTTGCGTGCTGGTTTCTCTGGCTGGGACAGAGGTCTTCTCCTACCCTGGGCACCCTGGTCCTCAGCCTTCAGACCAGGCTCTCATGACAGCAGCTCTCCTGGGTCTGCTGCCTAAAACAGACTCATGGAACTTTGGGATATCTCACTGTCCATAAAGTAACAATTAATTACTTATAAATATAAGTAATTATAAATATGAATTTTTTGGTTCTCCTTCTCTGGAGGAACATGGCCAATTCTATCGTGAAGCACACATCACGCTGGTTGACACAATTTTCTCCATCAGGGCCTACACAAGTGTTAACTTGAAACAGTACTGGGAACTTGGTGAACAAAATGGAGGATCTCATTTATTAATAGCATTTTAGACTTTGAAAAGTTGTTACTTAACTTTCCCTCTGCCATAGACATGTGAGGCCCAATGAAAGTGCTGGATACTCATGTAGACTCAAAGGATATTGATGAAGACAGAATAAAGAATTCTGCATGGCATGAGAACTCATTGAGGCACCTTCAGTAGACTAAGCCAGAATACACTAGTACTCAGCGATTGACTTGTAAACAAATCCATGCATTCATGTTGGAAAATAGTCTACTGTAATTTGCCTTCATGTGCGAATATTTGAGGAGACAACCTTTTAAAAGCAGCCTGAGAAATGATGAGCAGAGTCAGAATTCTCACTTGTGATGCCTTGGTCAGTACAGGAATGTCCATGACTGTTGACTCTGAGTCCCATGTGCAGAAGAAGGTAGTGGTTCCTGCAGCTACTGAAAGGTACAGCTTTGGTTCACTGAGCAGTCAGTCTGTCTGCCCATTGGATGCTTTGGTCTGAGGTTCATAAGGTAGCTGGTATAAGGGAAGATATTCATTAGAATAAATCACCCAGAAAGAAGGAAGAGCCAGGGTGGTTCTCACAGAGCTTCCCATCACTCACTCACTCACTTATTCACTCATGAAGTCACAGACATGCATAGAATCCATGTAGAGGCCCTGCACATGTGGTAGGAAGAGGGGAGAAGGGAGACCTGGAGTTCATTACCATAAAAATCACCACAGTGTGTTTGTGTGTGTTTGTGTGTGTATGTGTGTGTGTATTTCTGTGTGACTTCTTGAGGAGTAGATGTGCAGTGGGATTAGGACCACATCCAGGGATACTCAAATGGAACCTTCAAGCAGAGGAACTGGAGAATATTGGAGGCTCCCAAAGCCCCTGAGAGCTTCTGGACTCAGAGGTGTGGGCTGTGTCACTGCATTTGTCAGCTGCAGGGAGGACGATGCCTGGTGATTCATAGAGCCCTGGTTATGGGGCTCCCTGCAGAGTCACTGGGTTTAGTACAGCCATTCTCTGGGTTCAACAGCCAGAGATGTTGAAGCGCATCGGGTCCCTGAGAAAACATTTTGAAGTCGTCCTAGAGTCATGCGAGGTCCGTGCCCTGTGAGTCCTGAGAGCACCTTCTCCTGCAGGGTGCTGTCTGGGTAGGAGGGGAAGCATGGGATCCACAAGTTCAGAGTTGCTGCCCCCACAGAAAGGTACAGAGGGAGCTGGGGAAAGATTCCCTTTGAGAGCTTAGGTCTTCCTCTACTCAAAAACTATATGAAATAAAATTGGACATGAGGTGACTGTACATATCATACCCCATCAGAGCATCTACCAACTCAATAAAACATGAGAACCACAGTCACTGGGGACATTTATATGGGCTTTTTATATCTGCACTGTAAGAAACTGGATGGTATGGATAGCTTTAATAACTCACTAGAGGCAGAATTTTGAAGACACACTAGCCCAGCACTAAGATACACAGGTATCAAGGCCTGAAAAGTCCCACTGGTCCCTGTTTCACTCAAAGGTAGGTTCACAAATAGGAGCATGTCCTGTGGGGGCTTTTTCTTAGAGGGAGAAGTTATGTCTGCACAGAGCTCAGGGACCTGACATGGGACTTATATCCAATAACACAAAATTAGAATTGAAACCTGATTGTGCCGCTGAGCATATGTCCTCTACCCTTTCCCAGGTGGACTCAAATAATCAGCTATGAAGTGCTCTGTGTCATGACTATGTAAATGAGAAGAGGTAGACCAGGTTAAATATGGGCCTGTCTGTTCCCTGAGAGCACCACCCACAACCACACTCTGCCTTACTGGGGTCCTAAACACAGAGAACCTCATCATGGACTGGAGCTGGAGAGCTCTCTTCCTGGTGGCAGTGGCAACAGGTAAGGGGTTCCTTTGTACCTGGGTAGGAAGGGACCAGGGACAGTCAAGGGGAATTTCCACCCACTCCTGCCTCCTCTCCACAGGTGTCCACTCCCAGGTGCAGCTGGTGCAGTCTGGGGCTGAAGTGAAGAAACCTGGCTCCTCAGTGAAGGTCTCCTGCAAGGCTTCTGGATACACCTTCACCAACTACTTTATGCACTGGGTGCGACAAGCCCCAGGACAAAGCCTTGAGTGGATAGGGATGCTTTATGCTGGTAATGATAATACATACTACGCACAGAAGTTCCAGGGCAGAGCCACCATTACTGCAGACAAATCCACAAACACAGCCTACTTGGAGCTGAGAAGCCTGAGAACCGAGGACACGGCCGTGTATTACTGTGCAAGAGACACAGTGACAGGAAGTCAGTGTGAGCCCTGACACAAACCTTCGTGGGGGAAACAGGAGGGATTTACTGCAGGGGGCACTCAGGTCCCACCAACCACAAAAGACAAACTCAGTGGTAGGTGTCCACCTGTTGGGTAAAGAAGGGGCTCTCTCATGGGAGCAGGGATTTCCTCTCAGAGCTTTCAGATGCAGTCAGAGACAGTTCCTTCTTTGTGGCTCTGATTCCCCAAACACTCAGTGCAGACAGCAAAGGGAAAAGTCATACTTTCTGTTTGCAGAAGAGATCCCACCCTGTGCCTGGGGATTTTTCCTTCACCTCACTCCTGTGTGTCTTTTTTCTTCCTTGACAATGAGTGCTCTTGTTTCTACTGTCATTGGACAAGTTTTCCAAATGAGGAGCCAAGCCTGGCCCAGTCCCCTGTGTGCTGTGCTCAGGCTCTCTGCCCACAATATTCACACTATGCCCTCACATGCCTCCTTCCTTCTGGCAGTCACACCTCGCACAAGGGCAGATGCAATCATCTTCCTGGTCCCCCACCCCTCAGGCCTCTGTCCTCCCAGCCACGTTACCCTCTTGGCCCTCAGTTTCTGGCTGGGTGTGAAAACTCAACCCAACATCTGTTTCAACAATCAGTGTTGTTACTCTGATATTTTTTAGTTTCCTTTTGAAAAGGATGATGATTCTATTCATGTCCCAACCAGAGACTTCAGGATAATGTGCCCATGTCAACACCTTTAACTCAATCATCCCTAATTTAATGAAAGCTGCAGAATCTTGCCATATAAGAGAACACTTACCATTCCCAGGAGCAAGAATCTGGATGTTGTTGAATGTCTGAGTTCAGCTATCCTGATTCCCTGGGGATCTGGTCCTCAGCTGTACCTAAGGAATCTGGAGACAGTCTTCCTTCCAGAGGTGCTGGAAGTTATGTGGAAGAGTTTGAGTGCATGCATGTGCATGCATGCATGCATGTTAACTTGTTAGGACATGTGTTTGTGACTGTGTGTGACTGGTGGTGTGTATGTCCATGTATGGTTTAATCTCTATTCTGAGTCTCCCACAGTTCACAGAACAAGGACCTTCCCAAATGTAAATGATGACCAGGCCCTAAGGAGAGAACAGCCTTTAGAAAGCCTGTGTTCCCTTCTCTGTCAGCTGGGTGTGATCCAAAGGACTAGAGCACATCATGGACACAACATGCTTGGGGATCTTCTTTTTTATAAAACATGAATTCTAGGGGTCTCAGATCATGCATGTAAAGAGGCTGAAAGATGAGGTGCCCCTTACTCGAAATGTCCTCTTTGCCCCCAAGTGTCCTGTCCCAGGTGAGCAGCATGAGCCAGGCTCAGGACTGGTTAACCCCCAAGCAGGGCTGCCAAGATGGGTGAATGGGAGCTAGGGATAGTGCATAACACAACGTTCCGTATGGAGCAGATTCTTGACCCAGGGGCACAGCTGTATGTTACTTACCATACACATAGAGTGAGACAGTGCCAGCCCAGATACCAAAGTCCATCTTGAGGGGGCAGGGATGGGAATGGGCTCCAGGGGTTGCTCAGGATTGGATACCTGGAGCCCATTTGATGAGCAGGCATAGAGAGAGGCTGGGGAAAGGATTCCTGAATCACCTTGTAGTTCCTATCCTTGTGCAGAGATCCACAAATGCCTTCTCTCCTATTCTTGTAACGTATGTTTGCATCTGATAGTCTATGTGTTACTGCGTTGAGTAATGTGTGCATCTGTGTGTGTGTGTGTGTGTGTGTGTGTGTGTGTGTGTGTGTGTGTGTAGGCGATACTGTATGCTTTACCTGCATGTGGCAGTTTTATGTGAGTGTGTATGCATTATTTTATGTGTGTTTCTAAGTGTTTTTAAGTACATTTAATTGATTTGGCTATTACAGTTGTCCTGTTTTTTCTCCCTTTTATTATCCTGTGCCCTGTACCCCCTCCCACCAGCACCCCCAAACCTTATAATATGCCCATTCATCATGCATATAAATTCTTTGGTTTCTCTATTTCCTATACTATTAATAACCTCCCCCTGTCTGTACCTGCAGTTTATGCTTCTTATGCCCTGTACCTTTTCCCCAATTCTCTTATCTCCCCCTCCTCAAAGATAATAACCATGTCTTCTCCATTTCTGTGATTTTGCTCCTGTTCTTGTTGTGTGCTTAATTTATTTTTGTTTTTACTTTTAAGTTCTTTTGTTGATAGTTGTCATTTTACTATTCATAGTTTTGATCATCTTCTTTTTCTTAGTTAAGTTCTTTTAACATTTCATATAATAAGGGTTTGGTGAAAACAAACTCCTTTAGCTTTATCATGTCTGGGAAGCACTTTATCTGCCCTTCCATTCTAAATGCTAGCTTTGCTGGATTAAGTAATCTTGGATGTAGGTCCTTGCCTTTCATGACTTGAATATTTCTTTCCAGCCCTTTCTTGCCTGTAAGGCTTCTTTTGAGAAATCAGCTGCTAGCCTTATGGAAATTCTTTTGTAGGTAACTGTCTCCTTTTCTCTTGCAGCTTTTATGATTATTCCCTTATCTTTAATCTTGTGTAATGTAATTATGATGTTCTTGGTGAATGCTTCCTTAGTTCGAACTTCTTTGGGACTCTCTGAGCTTCCTAGATCTCCTGAAAGTCTTTTCCTTTGCCATAGAGAGGAAGTTCTCCATTATTTTTTCAAATGAGTGTTCAGTTTCCTGCTATCCCTCTTCTCTTTCTGGCACACCTCTGACTCAGATGTAGGAATGTTTAAAGTTGTCCCAGTGGTTCCTAAGCCTCTCCTTATCATTATTTACTTTTTTTTTTTTTAATTCTGGTTTCTTCATTCTGTTCTGGTTAAATGTTTATTTCTTGTTTCTGATCCAAATCACTGATATAAGTCCCAGTTTCCTTCTCTTCACTGTTGATTCCGTGTATATTTTTCTTTATTTCACTTTTTATAGCCTTCAGTTTTTCCTCTATTTTATAACCATACTGAACCATTTCTGTGAGCATCCTGATTACCAGTGTTTTGAATTCTGCATATGATGGGTTGGCTATCTCTTCATCACTCAGTTTTATTTTTGGAGTTTTGATATGTTCTTTCTTTGGGCCATATTTATTTCTCTTGGTGCAGCTGTTATGTTGCAAGTGGCAGAGCCTTAGATATTCACCAGGGCCAGGCAACCCAGGTCACTCCTTTGTGGCATTGCACGTGGGAGAAAGACCAGACAACAATGTCCTTTGCTAAGTTCCCCACTGGCTTTAAGCCATTTTCCCCACTACCCATAAGCAAATCAAGCCCTTCTGGAGCTGATTCCTGGGTGGGTGGGTAGGTTTGTGTGTGTTCTAGGAAACAATGTGTCTCCCCAGAAAACTCTACTGTGGGTCTGGGAGTTTCTCCAGCAGGTGTATTCTTCACTGATTTTTTCTACAACCAGAGCATTTGAGACTTTATTTTCTTTTGCTGGAATCCTGGGTTGTGTGATCTGTCTCACTCCCCGCTTTTTCCATCTGGTATATCTACACACAAAAGTGTAATTGCCTGGTCCACTAGCTGATGCATTTCCCACCGCTTCACCAGACACTGCCTTGTCCATCCAGACTACCAGCCACTGACTTGCCATGCATTTTAAACTTGTTAGTTGTCATCAAAGATACAAAAAGTATCATCTTAGTTATCAGAAGTATATACTTCAATAATATTAAGTATATTCACACTGATATACAACTAGGTGGAGAATTCTACTTCCTTTCAATACACCTGACAAATCTACATACACAACTTGCTTCAGTGGAATCATATAGGACTTTTTGTGACTGTCTTATTTTTCTCACGATAAAGACCTCAAGGTCAATCTAAGCTGAAGCTCCTGAAAGGGTTTACCTTTTACAATGCTGTGTAATGTTCCAGTGAATGTATGTACTACATTCGGTTTATTCCTTCATTCATCAAAGGGTATTTAGGTTGTTTCCACCTATTATCTTTTCTGAATTTGCTGCCACAATCATTGGTGTCCAACTATCCCTTTGAAATTAGTACTTACATATATCCAGGAGTCCAATTTCTGTACCACATGGCACTTCTCTTTTCAGTTTTTGAAAAACCTCCATACTGTTTTTCCTAGTGGGTGCACAATTATTCCTATTTTCCATATTCTTGCAAGTGTTTGTTATTTTGTTTAGTTTCCTTTTTATTATCACCCTCCTAATGGATATGAGATGACATCTCACTGTGGATTTGACTTACATTCCCTTAAATATTAGTAACATTGACCATCTTTTCAGATGTGTATTATTCATTTGTATGTCAACTTTCAGAAATGTTTGTTTCATTTTTTCCACACTTTCTTTTCATTTGTATAGAAATATGACCATTCATATCTTTTTAAGTGTAACATGGGCAGCATATTTATGGGGCTCACATGGTCACCACAAAAATAGAGCTGGCTTCCATTATATTTACATAGACAGAAGTAAATGAAAGGGAAGAGAAGAAAAAGAAGGGAAGTTTAGATTTCTTTGTGCTGAATCTTTTGGGATCAACTCTCATTAACAATTTGGGAAATATTCATGCATATCACACAACGATGTTAAACCCAGGCTTTTTGTAAAATATTTCATTTACTTATTTATTTTCAGACAGAGAGGAAGGGAGGGAGAATGAGAGGATGAGAGGCATCAATATTTTGTTGCCTCTCACATGACCCCTACTAAAGTTCCTAGCTGGCAACCCAGGCATGTGCCCTGGTTGGAAATCAAACCAGTGACCTTTTGATTCACAGGCCAGTGCTCAATCCATTGAGCCACACCAACAAGGGCTCTAGTCTTCATATTGTCAACTATATCCCAGGGGCTTACTTATCCTGCAAGTGGAAGTCCATACCTTGTGATCATCCACAACTGATTCCCCAACACCAAACCTACACCTACAAAAATATGATAATTTTAATAATATTATTTAGAATCCACATACAATAATATCATTCCATTTATGTCTTTCTGTGTCTCATTCCCTTTGTTTATCATTATGCCCTCAAGAACCATT